AAATTTCGAGGAAATAATTTTGAATTATCATTTGTTGCACGATTAACTCTATCAATCTTTCAGGCCATACTTAGGCTTTGTTCAGAATAAGTAAAGAAACATCTTAATTCCTTGGCGGAATATTCCTTTAGAATTAATGAATCATTATTTTGTCAATGTCTTAAAATATACAGAATATAATTATATATTTACATAACTCGTGCTCATTTAAAAAATTCATCAAATTAACTTTGACATTTTGGTAGAAGGAAACGTACCGAAAAACGCGCGTGGATGATTAATTCCATAACTGACATTTGAGAGTGGTTTGATATTTTTGACAAACAGAGTTGTTTACGCTAATACGCTTTATCCGATTTTACGTTTGTGCCCCGTTGTTCAATTCACTTTTACGTGTTTTCTGTTTTCCAAATTAAACAAAATCTGTTCTTTTCACAATTAACCAATGAGCAAACGTAGTATTTTTGGTGGTATGTCTTACAGTTTAGAACACAACGTCTTTCTGGTTCAGAGATATTTCCGAAATGGGGCTAAAGTTGATGATGGATGGACAAATATTGCTATCGACTATGCAGAAACTGGTAACTGAATTTTCTTCCGTTGCGTCATCCGGGCCCGTTTGCGTATGCGGAATAACTATAAATCCGGCTTTACCTACCAGTGGATGCCCCACGAAGATTAGGATTTTGCAATTGATTTTTGAATATGAACAACAACAGAGAATTGGTGCAAAAAATAAGTTTTAGTGATGAAGCATGGTATCATCTCAATGGATACATAAACTCACAAAATATGAGAATTTTAAGTCATGAAAACCCACATGAATTTGTTGAAGAACCATTACAGCCTCAAAAAATTGGTGTGTGGGCAGCAGTTACTCAGAGACGTATAATTAGACCAATATTCTTTCAAGGTAAACTATAAAAAAATTATCTGCAACAGTTTTAACTATTATTATTTTTTATTAAGTATACTTAAATGTTGCTAGATATCGAAATGAAATTTTAGAGCCCTTTGTCAACCAGTTACACGATGATGAATTTCAGATCCGATTCTTTCAACAAGATGATTCATTGTACAATAGACAACTTAAATTTCTTAAGAAACTTCTTTGATGACCGCATAATTAGTCGAAATACAGAAATTCCTTGGCCACCTTGTTCCTGTAATTTGACAAGTTGTGAGAATTGAACAACAGCAGATTAATAACAAAGCCATTATGTTAGAAAATGTTTTCAGAAATTTTGGAAGGAGGGTTTTACAATGCCTTGACGCAGATGGGCAACATTTTCAACATTTATTTTATTGTAATATCAAACCTGTTTTTATTATAAATTTGAAAAAATAGTCTTATTTACTCTCCCCCTTACTGTTGAGCTTGGAATAACATTTTTACTTTTCATAAACACCCTTCAAACCTTATGAACGAATCCACTGAATTTTTAGATAACCATCTGATACTGCATGCAAAGTTATGTTGTTTTTTACTTCAGATTCCAAAAACATCTGCACGATCAAAACTGGTATTCCACAAGGTTGACTCGACTAATAACAAAAAAAGTGCTTTGGCAGACCAGTCTAGTAATACGTTCAATGAAACGCATAATATAAGTAAATATGGAATTTATGATAGTGCAAGCAGCCTACCTGGGTGTTTTTAGGCTGGAGATAAGATGAATATACAGGGCTTTTATAAATGATTCTAAGCGCGTAGTTGGCCATGGATTTCAAAAATCCCGCTTCCCTGAAATTATGCCCGTGATTATCAGTGTTGGGGACAAATACTTTTAAAAGTATCTAGATACAAATATAGATATATGGAAGATAAAAGTATCTAGATACAGATTGTTTTCGATTTTTTCGAAATGTATCTAGATACAGATACAAGAAAACAGATACTTTTTGAAGCTTTGGCGAATAGAATAACTGAAAATATGTATTATTTTATGTATTGTTTAATCAATTTTTTTAAATTAACAACATTTCGAACGTATTGTGACCTAAACTATTTCTTCTTGGTGTCAGACTTTAGTTTCCTCTACTAAACACCCGTTTCACAGGTGCAGAAGAAGGGATTGTGGTATTAAATTTAAAAAATAAACATTTTGCTGTAGCATAGTTATTCAAGACTAAAAATCTTTTCTTTTTTCCTGCAAGTAGGCCATCGCTTCGCTGTTTGATGTGTCGCAAATTGTGCAATATTTATTACGTACGCTTAAAAAGAATATTTTTTTTTATTTTATTCCCATACTTCAGTGTCCAAATTGTATTTTAGTATATCTAATAATTATCTCCAGTATTAAAATTAATATTTCAAAAGAATACGGGAAATGATTATTCTGTGCTGAAGGTCTGTCGTCGGCAACCTGTTGTCATAAATTATTATTCTTCAATATCGGCTTACGATGTTTTTATGACCATGTCCGGTAATCGTCTATCCCGGTGCGGCAGGTATATACATTTTAGGAAGAATTGCTGGTTTCGTTTAAGGTAAAATAAGTACAATTTCTTAGAAAGGTATTTAAACCCCTTATAGGATCAAAGGCTGCCTGGCAGGCCGGAATCACCAGAGTGAAACTTTAAATTTTCAGATTTTTGTTGAAATTCATTTTATTTTAATCTCGTTTCCCGATTTCTGAGAATAGATCACGATAAATTATTCTACCGAGGGTTCTAAAAATATTAATTTTATTGCTCAAAATTTACACTTAAACATAATCGGCACATTCTAGGGCAAAACGGACCTGCCAAGCCCACCTCGCCTTAGGTCCAACAATGAAAAAGTGAAGAAATGACACATGTGGCAACAGAAAAAGATGCTGCATTTGTTTGAAAAATAAACGTATAAAACAGTAACAAATATTCGATTTATGCGAGAGAAATGTATGTATTGAACATTCGATTAGTCGATTACAGAACTAATTTGTGTTAACTGAAAAAATTAATCATTGTGTAACAGGCAATTATTATTTTCTAAAAATAATAACATACCTTAAACAAATATTTTTACTATTAAAATTACTCTTATTTAATAATACAAATACAACCAGCGGGCCTACCGGACCCGGGTTGCTCAGGTACACAGATAAAATGCATTGCCCTGATAAGCGTAAAATGCAGTGAATAGTGAATTGTGGTTTATGGTTTTTAAAATACCATCTTACCATGGCTTAGATTTATTATCCCTCAGAATTATATTTAAAGATGTATAAGTACTGAAGGCTACAATGTAGGAAATTGTGGTATTTAAAATATGAAAATTTCCATGACAGAACACTATTAGTGGACCTCTTACCTCTATTTTTGTTTATGTGACCAAAATCACCAACATGAAGTATCAAAAATTACTACTAGTATAGCTCAACTAATAACTACTGAAAAAAAAGTGAAATAAAAAAAATGTATCTGTATCTGCGCCATTAATTTTGTATCTAGATACCGATATTTTGTGCTTAAATTCGATTTTATCTAGATACAGATACAAATACTAGATACCCAAAAATGTATCTAGATACTTTATTTAGATACAAGTATCTAGATACCGCCCAACACTGGTGATTATGCATCATTATGACAGTTCTCACTTGTCACATTAATGTTTAATGTCATTTGTAACGTGTCATTTAAGTCGTTGTTTTTTTTTTGTTTTAATGTCTTTCAAGTGCGAATTACAGTAATTCTCGTTGTTCCAAGCTCAAAACAACAAAACAGTCATTTTCAGAACTCTTGGTGGTTGTGTACGAAAATTTTGTTTTTGTGTAAGGAAGCGAAGACTGTGAAAATGGTTTATTCTGTTGAACAAGACACTTTCATCGTTATGTGTTGTTATCGCAATGGGACTTCGTAAACAAAGAGTATGTGTATTCTGTAACCGCTTGTAAGCAAGAATATCTGGCCAAATGCCGTGATTTAATAATTCAAGAAACATAGTTAAAGGCTCACATTAGAGATGTAATCAACAGATTTGTTCGAACTAGCAGTATCAACAAAGAGAAATCTCTTCATCTGAGGATAATTTGAGACGACTTGAGCAGAATTGAACAACTGAACAACGGGTCCAAAGTATTGACGAAAGGATGTTACATAACATTTTTGAAATTAAAAAGAGCGTGAACATGTGCCTTGAACAGAGTGATGAGAATTTTCAACATTTACTGTGATGTTAAACCGCAATAAATTTATTTCTTTTTATCGTCTGAAGTTTGCTTTGGATATTTTAACATGGCGACTTGATTACAACATTTTTCCTTTTTTTATCGCTCTCGATTTGACAAACAGCCAGAAGTAGGTGGCCTTGTGTGTCAAACCGACAACGATAGAAAAAGGAAAAATATTGTAATCAAGTCGCCACGTGTAACTATATATCCACACCAAATTTCCAAAAAAAGTTTTTCAAATAAAACAGTTATTCAATCGTTCCGGGACTTTATACTAACCCCGTATAATAAAATAATGGTCAGCTTTCAAAATTCAAAGTAGGAGTGACTTTCCTGACAGTTCAGGAAAACATATTTTTTAGTTATGTTTCGTGAAATTTATATTCAGCATTTTTTAGCGTACTCTAATTCATCAATAAATAATAAATTTTGGAAAAAATCGTCTAAGGCGACCTTGTCCCTTACCTGTTTGATCAATACTGCAGTTCTCAAACTGTTGACGCGGACTAATATGAGTACAAAGTTTTGATTTCATGTTCGAGGTAGTCACTCTGAACCCGATTTTGGAAAAACCAATTTTTTCCAAAGCTGTGTGGTGCTTTAATAAGAAAATAATTAATTAGAAGATAATTCATTCCAAAAAATTATTTAACCCGATCGGAAATTTTTTGCGTTTTTGAATTTATAGTAGGACTGGCACTGGTTTTTGATGAAGTAGTACCGAGTTTAAATTCTCGTATGTTTAATGAAGCTAAAATAAAGGGCGCGTAAAACTAAATATTGAGAACCACTGAATTAATTCAGTATGAAAGATATAAAAACAAGTATTTGTTAACATACTAGATGGTACCTCGACTGTACTGTGAGTAGTTCGTACACAAATATTGTAAAATTATCACAACTTGTTTACTTTAATCCAATTGAAAATGGAAACGTTTGAGCCCTTATTATATTATAGTAATCAAACACTATTTTCTCCGATATTTGTACTATTTATGATAGCCATCTTAATCTACAACTGGAGAAGAAGATGGCTTTATTATTATTCTTCAAAAATACCAGGACCATTTCCACTGCCTTTATTGGGAAATGTTTCCTTAATTACAGGAGGAGCTTATGGTAAGTTTCAAACTTGAAATTTTTTATCAACAGTAGGTACGTCAAAGTATTTCAGAAATTCACACGTTTTTGAAAAAACTTTTCACTGATTACCCTTCTATTGTAAAAATCTGGTTGGGACCGGAGCTGTATGTCAGCACGACAGAACCAGAATATATAAAATTAGTGTTGACGCGTTTCTTAGACAAAGGAAACTATTATCATTTAATGACTGGGTATTTTCAAAGAGCGCTCGCCGCAGCTCCTGGTTAGTGACATAAGTACGTGCAATTTTTCCCTTAAAATATGATTTTAGTTAAATTGTGGAAACAAAATCGAAAAAATATTAACCCTACGTTTAATATTACTCTTATCAACAGTTTCGTCGGTACTTTCGCTAAACACGCTAAATTACTTACTGAAAAGTTTAAAGACGCTTGTGGAAAGGAAACAGATGACATACTTCCATCTGTCTGGAAATGTACGCTTGAAGCCGGCTGTGGTAATAAAACACCCAATGAAAAAATAATTTAACACAATTAACTATTATCGTTTTAGAAACATTAGCCGATGTAAATTCGTCTTTAATTAATATGCAACAGTATCTGGGAGTAACTGCCAGGTGAGACACGATTTGTGTAACACATCTAGCTAATCCTCAATTTTAAAGAATTGAAGAAATTCTGTTGAAACGCTTTTTCCATCCACTTTTGCACTTTGATATTTTCTGGAACTTATCTCCTTTAAAGAAAGAAGTAAACACACTTTGGAAACAAAATTGTTCTTGCATGCAGAAGGTAAGAAATTGGGTATCTGAAATTTGAGTCGTTAAAATGGATTTTCAGATGATTGATTTGATGGAAGTATCTAAAAGTAGTCAAGATGATTCTGGTAAACATTTCGTTTTAGAAGATGCATCTACAAAGAAACGTTTCTTGCCTCATTTGATGAATTTAGATCGCAACCAAGAAGTACCACACGACTACGTGCTTGAAGAAAGTCAGATTATGTTCTTCGTTGGAACAGAAATATCAGCTGCTGTACTCAGTTCCATTTTATTAGTACTCGGAATGTATCCAGATGTACAGGTACTAACTTGTTTTCTTTTTTTCTCACATTGTTTTACATTTATATCATAGAAAAAAATCGACGAAGAACTGAACGCTATATTTGGCGACAGTGATAGAGATCCTACTTTGGAGGATGTAAACCACATGCAATATTTGGATAGAGTACTCAAAGAAACGATGAGATTACTTCCACCCTTGCCCTTCATTATGAGATATATAGATGAAAACGTTCGCTTAGGTTAGTTAAATGATTATTTTTGAACAGAATGTATCTACAAAATTTTGCTTTCCAGGACCATACGTTTTACCAAAAGATACCAGATTTATCGTTCCTGTCGCTGTGGTACATCGACGACCAGAATTTTGGCCTGATCCAGACAAATTTGATCCTGATAGATTCTTGCCGGAAGAGGCAGAAAAGCGACCGGTTTGCTCCTACATACCATTTAGTTACGGTGCTAGAAATTGTATAGGTAACGTTGCGAACTTGATGGTACGATTTATGAATCATTTTATTCGTCTAACTCGATTGCAGCTTACAAATATGGGTTGCTGTCAATAAAAATAATTCTGTCGACATTTTTGAGGTCGTACAGAATAACATCTTCAAATTACAAGTCCATACAAGATATAGATCTTTTCATACATGTTGTGGCAAAACCTAAGAATGGCTATAAAATAACCATAGAAAAAAAAGACAAAGTAGTTGCAATGTAAGTGGTGAAAAGTGTTTTATCAATTAACTGTTTCACAAATACTGTGTGATATATGATACTTTAGATTTTTTGGTAAGGTTTTAAGGTGTTGTATAGATGTAGAATTTTTTGAATATCAAATAATAAATAATATATGTTAACCATGAAAATTTTATTAACACGCGTGCATCATTTTTATTGGCAACATTAACTTATTATTTTTTTACCAACTCTGAAAAAAACAAATGTACAGTGTAATGTTCACATAATCTCGTACAACCTCGCTTTTACGTTGTGTTAAAATCAATATAAAATCAATAGCATGGGTACAAATTGAGATTGTCATCTGTACGTTCCATTAATTATGAAATATCTTTTATTTCACCATAAAAAAGGAGCTTTGTATATGATAATATATTTAAAATAAAAAACAAAATTATTTAATTACAACTTTCTCGGCCTTTGAAGCAAAAATAAATATGTTTTATTCTATTTTAGGATCATAATCTTGTTTGTAAACACCCAAATGCAAAAATGGTGCAATGAATGATTATTATTCACTTATATTAATTAATTATCCAAACACGCTTCGATATTCAACATTTTTATTAAAGGTGGGAAAATAATATTTCGTCAAATCATTCCCTGACCGAAAAATTCTTCTAAAATTTTTTTTGAATAAACGTTTTTCGCTTCTTCAGTTTGCATTTTGAAAATCGAATTATTTAACAAATAAACAATGTGGTATCCATAATAACATCAAAACAATAGCCCGCTATGTATGAAAGTTTGCATTGGCACAATTCACACAATGTTGCCGGAAATATTTAATGTTTTGTAAAAAATATTTTAGACATTAAAATAGAATAAAACGTTGTACCTATATACCACGGGCATAATTGTCGACTGTGGCCCTCGGGAAATTAAAAGTCCTCCTTCGTCGGGCTTTAAACATCCCTCGTGCCATAATCTCCCCAGTTATGCCCTTAATAGATAAATAACTATAACCTTCACTAATATAGAATACAGTAGAATCTCGATAATCCGAATGTATTGCGGAAAAGGTGTGTTGGGATTAGCGATTTATTCAGATCAGCGAATTTCCCAAAAATCTGAAAGGGAATTGAATAACAATTCCATACACTGCTGAAAACAAACTTCAAAAAATAAACCTTAATTTTTTTAAACAGAAATAAGTATTCTTAAGGTACAATGGATAATAGATACATTCGAAAAACATATTACCTCGTGACCATAAACAGGCTATCTTTTTGAAATCAACACGTCGGGATCTATATCCCTGAATTTTTTCAGAATTTTTAGATGACTTTTCCAAAAATGAAATTTCCCATTATGTATTCGGATTAAGTATCCCTTATGCAAATTTCGGCCCATTCTCGACGATTTTCGAAATTTAATTAAATACATTTTCTTGTAAATTTTCGGCCACAGAAGTCACTTTTGGCTTCATTTCTTCGATAACTTAAACTGTTTCTCCAGAATCGTCCATTGAACGCAATTTTTGAAATTTTCGAAAAATTCGAATTTCACATCTACATTTTTGACATTTTCCAAACATAACTAAATGCATTTTCTCGTGGATTTCGAGCTCCAGAACTCACTTCCGGCCTCGTTTTTTGGATAACTGCAACAGTTTTTCCAGAATCGACCGTTGAAATATCGAAATTTTTAGAAATTTTCAAAAATTTGCGTTTCATGCCGATTTTGATTAGAAAATGTTGTCTCGTGACCATCAACACGCTATATTTTTGAAACCAGCATGTCGACATCTACGTCCCTGAATTTTTTCGCAATTTTTAGACAACTATTTCAAAAATGAAATTTTCCACTATCTGTTTTTTTGTTTTTGGTGTTTTTTCAGTCAGCGTTACCTTATAAATCTCAAAAATTTTAAAATTTGCGGTAGTGCCATCTTTGGGTTTAAACTGGACTACAATGTACATTTCAACATTTTATCAAAACCTCAAAACTTTGAGTACAGATTAGAACAAATAATTTAGTAAATATATTTTATGGTACGATTTTACATTTATATTTTATGCTACAGTTGTCAGTACGGAATTTATAAAAAATTAATTTATTTCTAAAAATCGAAAAAAAATTTACTGAGCTATCTTGACAAAACCTGTTCCCTGGACAAAACTATGAAAATTATTATATTTCAGTTAGCGATTCTCGAAAAACGGTAGGAATTTTCGACGAAACGAAGCCGAAAATAACTTCTGGATATCGAAATCTACAAGAAAATGTTTCGTCTAATTTTCGAAAATAGTTGAAAAGTGATCGAATATATCAGAAGTGTCACAATCAGTCTCTTATCTTATCAAATACTAGCCCCGCCCCCTCATCCTCTATTTTCTTACAAGGTATGTCATTTGCCAAAATCAGTCTGACCTTAGCAAATACTAGCCAAGCAAAGAGAGGGCGGGTGGGCGGAGATAGTACGTGGTAAGATAGGACTAATTTTAGCAAATGACAAAATAGAGGATAAGATCGTAAAATTGCAAAAGTTATAATTATTGGTTGTACATTTGAAATGAAAACTAGAAAAATTGTAATCCCAAAATTGAAGAAACAAAAAATGAAAAAATCTAAAAGCTGAAAATTGAAAAAAATTAAAAAAAAAAGAAAAATTATTATAGAAAGAATAATGAAAATAAAAACTTTACGTCGATTATTGTGACTAAGCTCACGCTGCTCGATACTTTTTTTTATTCTAGTTTTAATACTAAAAAAGCTCAATAACAAACATCGAAACAAAAATCTGAAATTTTTACATAAAAAGTATAATTAACCGAAAGCAAGAAAAATGGAGAAAATTGTGTGTTGTCTAGCAATGAAAACAGTGTAATATTTCTTTTTTTCTATTAACAAACTAATAGCAAAAAGAAACGCAGGATGACACCCACGAAAACACATTTAAATGTGTTATCATTTTCAATAATTTAAGTATGGAAACAAAACGGATCACTAATACCGAAGGATGCAAGTAGCTGCATTTTTTTGCAGTTGTGGGTACACACGCAGTACACACAAGCACTACGGACAACTTGAGCAATACGCAAAATGTAGTGAAACTTATTTCCGGACGGTACGAAGTAGAGATCTGCATAACAGTTCGACGATGTTTACCAATGTTTTCAGTGACTCACCACCAGGGGACAGCGCCTCACGGACCTTTAATCCGGCCTTTGATCAATTGCTAAAACTGGCGTCTAGACGCCCCTTAAGTGTAAACAGTTCATCGATTTTAGACTGGGGACTTCAAAATGGACTCCAACTAGATTTAAAATATTGACAAAACAATTGAGATTAAAAAGCGAGGGAGGATTAAGAAAAAAATATAAATTGTGACGTCACATTTTCAGGTGGTAATAAGTTTCGTAAGTATAAGCAAAAATAAACAATGTTATTAGACCAAAATTTTATTTTTGGAAAACAAATTTTTTAAATTTCGCTCATCGGCAAAAGCGTTACAGCAGAATAAATTTAATGAACACTATTTACCAAACTGATTACTTTGAAAACCACGTCGTTCAGCAAATTCAACGGTGCAGCATGAGCCAGTAATTTTCCTTACGAGTTTACTAGACATTGAACTGCATGTTTATTTAACCTTTCCAAAATGTTGATAACTTTTTCTTAAAATAACAAACATTTATCTTTAGTAGAGCGTATCAAGCATTCTGCAGATGTACTGAATCCGACGCACTAAACAATGTTATAAATGGACATTGGTTAAAAGAAATTTAAATCAAATCTTTCTCTTATTATACTGGTCATTATTTATACCGTCCGTCAACTATACTGAAAATTTTGAAAATAAACTCAACAGCGAAAACAATTTTTTGGGGATAATGCAACTGCCCTCTGGCATCAAGCTCAAAACTGAATTTTTCTGACGTGATCAGTTTAGATATCCAACACAGTCTGTTTCGGTTTCCAAGGATGTTCCACTTAATTTCACGCATGTTAGTAGCAGTAATTCGTAATTCTAAAATGAACATCATTAAGACCGGTTCTACATAAAATATGCAGACGCATTAAAACAGTAAGACGTAAACAAAATATAATATACACGTTAACCGTGAACTACCACGCATTCTTTACAAGAACAAAATACTGTGATCAAGTACAGTGAGCAACAAACTCTAACATTATTTTGTAATTTAACCCCAATAATAATTAGCTGTTACTGTCGAGATAAAAGACATTTTTCCCATGGTGTTATAAACACATCTTTATTTTGTTTGTGTCTCTAAATTAAAAAAAATTGTGTTATAATAGCTATTTATGCATCAACTGCCATTTTCATCGTGAGACAGTAAGTGAGGGATTAAGAAAGTTTATTCCAGAGATGCATACAAAACTTTCCTCGCAACCGGTTAAATTACCTACAAACGAAAATATTGACTACAGCTCGGAATTATATCCAGCTTACACATTAATATTTTATTTCTATTTCTTACAACATTTATAACTTAGACAATACATATTTGGACTTAAAGTACACATTTACAAATGAAAACTACGTATGTCGATGTATTTATTACTCCATTAACTAGCTATTTTACTGACAAACTAGTTACTCTCTTGAAAAAATTATTACTTGCATTTATTATAACATGTTTTTCTAGATTTTCCATTTTAAATGAATGTCTTCGATCACTTAACATAATTATTATATTTATACACTGAAAAACCACGCTCTACCATCGACAGAATGTTATTGGTGCATATTTCAGTAAGGGATGACACATTAGTTAGTCTAATAAAACCCCCATTTTTACTAAGGACTCCGTTCAGTTTTTTGAAACTGTTTGAGCAATAGGACCTTGTGCTTTATTGATATATTTTTTAATTTTTTTCTTAACTGTACGGATTCACTTAGGGGTACTTTTTGTTTTTCTAATTTTGTTAATGTGACACCAATTAATTCGTAGTTGTTATTTGTGAAGCTTAAGTTCTGATTTAATTAGGACTATAGTAAGAATCAGGAAGCAACGCGTACACGTCATGGACTCTATACGACGTCATGCGTCTACCACGTTTATCATACAAATGAATCGGTTTGAAAACTGTCAACAAACATGTCGGCTTGGTACTAGGCTATGGAATAAAATGTGATATGAGAGTTCATTTTTTTATACGGTCAACAACGTCAACATCAACGTTAGGGTGATATTGCCAAATAACATACTCTGTAAGAAAATAAAGGGCAGGCGGGTGGGGCTAGTAAGTATGCTTCGGTAATCGGCATTATATTCAAATTTTATTACTAATTTGAAATTTATAATGTATAAGTCTTCCAGGGGGGGCAACCATAACTTCTAGGGGGGGCTCAGTCCCATCTTGCCCCCCCGTAGCTACGAGGCTGCATCAAAGTCATACTTTTTCCGACCATTCCATATAAACATTCTCGAATAGCATACTGCTCCGAATTGCTAATATCACACATCGACTTTTTTCGGGGTCCCTTTTTCTTGAGAGAATGTACACCTCCGGTTTTTATTTGCTGTACCACGGCATGGTGCAATATTTACGTTCAAGCAAGCGACACGTACCACGGGTACACGACAGTTGAGTTGGAGTTCTGAAAAGAACTGTTATAGTTCTAAAACGAACTGATAGGATTACACGACAACTTAACCAAACTGACACCAATGACACTTGTGAAACCGATAAAACTGTAGCATATATTTCGCTATTATTCGTGCCAATATAATGTCAACAAAATCGATCGATTTTGATCCGTATTGAGGCGCGTATTTTTGATTTAGTGTTGGTAAACGATCGACGGCATCCACGACGTGTACGCATTGCTTCCTGATTCTTACTATATTTAATAGTATATTTCGTAACTAGTGTGGAAAGTAACAAATATCAAGCTAGTGCTTATAATACACTCACCGGCAAAAAAATCGAATCATTAGTATTTTTGTAGAAATCTTCAATAAATTCTGGTGTGCGTCACATTTATAAGACAAATTAGTTTATCTAGGACAAAGGAGATGAGAAGGTAACGGGACCTTTGCTGAAGTTGCAACAATTACGAGTTTATTAAAAAATACCAGAAAATCCATTACATTAAACCAACAAAAGACTACTTAACATATCATTATTAACGGTTGCAGCTTGCATTACGGTTGCCATACGTCTTCCCATGCCTTCTATGAGGTGTCTAATCTCAGCCTGGGCTAATTGGTCAAATTCTTCAACTAGCGCATTTGCAAGATCTCTTATGTGTTGTACGGCCGGCACACGTGCTCTGATACGTCTACCTAACATGTCCCACACATGCTCAATTGGATTCAGGTCGGGACTGCGTGCTGGTCATTCCATACTTGAAATCCCAAATTCGTCGAGGTAGGTTTGTACAACTCTAGCGATATGTGGTCTAGCATTATCATGCATTAGAATAAAATTATCGCCAATAAAAGGAACAAAAGGTACGACATGCTCTTGAAGAATATTTGCTACATATCGATCAGCATTCATTGTGCCTCTATCCACCACTACAAGTTCCGTGCGAGCTTCGGCAGAAATTCCTGCCCAGACCATCACTGAACCTCCATGAAAACTTAGTCTGGAAACAATATTGCACTGAGCCTACCTTTCGCCTCTTCTTCGCCATACTCTTTGACGGCCGTCAGGAGAACGTAGACAAAAACGCGACTCATCTGTAAAGAGTACTTGGCCCCATTGGGCAAGATCCGAATTAACGTGTTCTCGAACAAATGCAAGTCGGGCTACTCTGTGTCGTGGGAGAAGTTCTGGGCCACTTGCAGGTCTACGGGCCCTCAATTCAGCTGCAGTTAACCTTTTTCTTACAGTTCTTTCACTTACACTAACTCCTCGTGTTTCTTCAAGTTGATTTCTGGCCTCAACTGCGGTCGTATCCCTATTACGGAACACGGTCAGCGTTAAAAAACGGTCATCCCGAGCCGATGTTTTCTTTGGACGACCCGAATCAGGTCTTCGGCTGTATGATTCAGTCTCATTAAACCGTCGTACAGTTCTGTGAATGCTCACTTGTGATACCCCTAACGTATTGGCAACGTACCGTTAACTTCGACCATCCTGAATAAGAGCAATTGCTCGTGCTGCATTAATGGCCACAATACTCATGTTAATTGACAAAAACACAGTTTTCATCAAATCACAATGACAAACCGTCTGTTAATGCCCTCTAAACGTCACAACTGCAAATCTCATTGTTGGAGAAAACTTATCATCTTCAGATTTGAGGTTCATATCATGTACAAAAAAGAAGCAAAAACCTAGTGTTAGTATATTTTGTGTGATTTTTTCAAAACTGATATTGACTGTATCCAAACGTTTAAAAAAGGAACCATTTTCAATACAAACTTTGGGTGATTCGCTTTTTTTGCCGGTGAGTGTAGATATATGAGTACGGAGCGGAGCGAAACACGAGTAGATCTAATAAACACAAGCTCAGATATTTGTTAATTCCGAACGCATTACGAACACTGTTTTTTAGACGACTGTAGCACAATAAAAAATATGAAAGAAAGACTGAAAATTAAAATTATTAACAAATTTAAATTAGGGCATGCTGCAACTTTCAAAACAAGAAGGTAGCTTCTTTTGCCGCCTCCAATACTGCAGGTGGAGTACAAGTTATTCCTCGTCACTATCACTCATTTACACCGTGGCATAAAATACTGTCAGAGAAATGTCAAATTTGTCTTGATTTTTTGAAATAAACCTTTAAGCACATACATTGCTAAGGCGTGTCGAAGGCGCTAAAAAATTAAATATGATAAAAAATAATTAATATGATAAAAAACAGGAGTAACTAATATGATATTCGGAACTTTCATGCATAAATTGTAGTGTTGAAAGTGTCTGTTTCGTAAATAGTCGTCTAAAAAAGTTATTTTGCAAACGTGTCTTAATTTTAGCAACAGTTTCGGTATAACATTTATCTACAGTTGTTTTCGTCTAGAATGGTCCTTTTACAGTATAGTGTTAGTTTGGAAGACATTTTTTTAATTATTGGTAATGTCACTGCTCTGTTGCCAAGATGAATGAATTCGGAAATCGAAAAATGAAAAACTTACAAATCCATTCTAGATTTTCCATCTCTTCTCTCCAACCCCTCGTTAAATACATTCATGAAAAACGAGGTCTTAGAAAAACCAGTACAATTTACCTGCATTCTGGCAATAACCAACTATTAAAATTAAGATTCTCACCAATTATCCCAAAAAATGCGTCAAAATTTTAAAATATGCAACACATGCAAAAAAATATTTAAATATGCATATTTAAATATTTTTAGTGAATACAACCTTGGGACAGAATGTCTCATTCCACAGAAATTCTGAAGATATGCGGCATGGTGTACTAGAATCCTAAAGGCCGGGCCGAGGCGAAAGCCAGTCCGGCATTGTCAACAAAATAACTCCTAATTTTGTCATAAAATTTGTTTAGTATATATTCCACTAATGATGGTCTGGTTTACGGTGGCGTTGTTGAAGGCTAACAAGTCGGCTTCAGATTTTTTTTAAATGTTTTTTTCTCATACATTTTGACTAAATAAGATACACGACACGTGAGTTTTTTTGGTGTTGTAAATTTGTTGAATCATTGGTATTATTTATTATAAACCTGACTGAAAGTTAAACCACAAAATATTTAATAAAATATAACGGACACAAAAGACCCATATTTACCAATCTTCACTGTCATAGTCACTTAATTAAATGATCTTGATCATCGGATGACTCGAGATTAATGAAAGCTTAGGCTGGGTGTAAATCTTGATTTTTCACTTTTAATTTTGGTGAGATTATTATTCAAATCTGATTCGTGCAGCCAACGACGAAGTGATACTTACCCATTTTTGAAAATCCAAGGTATAAGAATGCTCCCAAGAATTTTTAAATTGGAGGTACTAAAAATAGAAATATTAGAAAAAGTAGCAAGACCATCTTTAATGTCTGTAGCGAAACATGGGGCTTCTTAAGAAAAATAGAAAATAAAACCAGGAGGAATAAAATAATAAATGAGACATACAAACAGAAAATTCCATTTAAAAACTGATAGGTACGTACTATTCTCATCAACAATGTTTGAATTATGATGTTTCAGAAATTTAAAAACATCATTTTTTCCATAAATCGACGTGTGCAAATATTCATTGTATGCAAAAATATAAGTATACAAATAGATTTTATAGGATAGACGACACAATATTTCAACGCAAACCAACTTATAACCATTTGAAAATAAAATATTGTATTGCAAGTATTTGGAATATAAGTGACTTTTTAAGTAAAAGATACCACATATATTTATTTATTAGATCAATATTCCCTCTCGTTATAATATTATATAATGCAAATTATCTAAGTACATCTTTCTAGTTGTTCTTTAATGTCACTCAAATATACTAATTTTCGAAGCGAACTACTCTACATTCATTCTCACATCATTACAAATTTCTCCCGCATCGCCTTGTCCTGAACATGTTTTTCTTTAACGCAAGAAACGATCAGTTACTTACGCACTAGTTAGTAGTACTCAGAATCTCCACGCAGCTCCATCAAGTGCTTCGCGGTGCGTCACAAATTTGTCGCAACTTGTTGTTACAAATCACTCTGCTTACATTGTTTATCATCAGTACAAAATAATAATTACAATGGAAACCTTTGAGTCGTTATTTTACGATAACGTAAAACTTTTTGCTCCGATACTGGTACTATTTTCAGCAGGCGTTTTAATTTACAACTGGAGGAGAAGATGGCTTTATTATTATGCTTCGAAAATACCAGGACCATTCGCATTACCTTTATTGGGAAGTTTTCACTTAGTTTCAGAAGGGCCTCACGGTAAGTTCCAAAAATAAAATTTATCTTAACTGTTGTTATGACAAAATATTTCAGGAGTTCATAAATTCTTAAAAAATCTCTTCACCGATTACCCTTCTACTTTGAAAGTGTGGTTGGGTCCGGAGCTGTATGTAAGCACAACAGAACCGGAATATTTAAAATTGTTGTTGACACGTTTCTTGGACAAAGGCAACTTTTACCATTTAATGACCGGTTATTTCCAAAGAGCATTAGCAGCGGCCCCTGGTTGGTAAATTAAGTACGTGCAATTGTTCCATTAAAATTTGATTTTAGTTAAACTGTGGAAAAAAAATCGAAAAAATATTAATCCTACGTTTAATATTACGCTTATCAACAGTTTCGTTGACATTTTCTCTAAACACGCTAAAGTGTTTACAGAAAAATTTAAAGACGGTTGTGGAAAAGAAACTGATGATATTTACCCATCTGTTTGGGAATGTACGCTTGACGCCGGCTGTGGTAATTTTATCCCTCGAAAAAAACAATTTTATTGAAATGACTATCGTTTTAGAAACATTAGCGGATGTAAGTCCGTCTATAATCAAGACGCAACAATATTTATCAGGAGTTTTCAGGTAAAGCACGATTTATGTAACATATTAGGCTAATCTTAAGTGTTAAAGAATTGAAGAAATACTCATGAAACGTTTTTTCCATCCACTTCTACATTTTGATATTTTCTGGAACTTGTCTCCCTTGAAGAAAGAATTGAACAAGCTCTGGAAACAAAACTGCTCTTGCATGCAAAAGGTAGCAAATTATATGAAATTTTTAATTCGTTAGAATGGTTTTTCAGATGATTGATTTAATGGAAGTGCCTAAAACTACCCAAGATAACGATGATGGTAAAAACTGACAAACAAGAAAAAATATTTTTTGTATTTATTTATTTTCTAGAAGACGTATCAACAAAGAAACGTTTCTTGACTCATTTGATAGACTTAAATCACAAACAAGAAGTACCGCACGACTACGTACTTGAAGAAAGCCAGATTATGTTCTTCGTTGGAACAGAAACATCCGCCGTTGTACTCAGTTCTACTTTATTAGTACTCGGAATGTATCCAGACGTGCAGGTACTAACTTGTTCTGTATTCTGACGTTGTTTTACATTTGTATCGCAGAAAAAAATCGAGGAAGAACTGATTTCCATATTTGGTGATAGTGACAGAGATCCTTCTTTAGAAGACGTGAACCAAATGCAATATTTGGAAAGAGTCATCAAAGAAACGATGAGATTACTCCCACCCATACCTTTCGTTATGAGATCTGTAGATGAAAATGTTCACTTAGGTTAGCTGCATTATTTTGCTACAGAATATAGAAAACTTTGTTTCCAGGTCCATACGTTTTTCCCAAAGATGCCAGAGTTATCATTCCCATCGCTATGGTACACCGACGACCAGAATTTTGGCCTAATCCAGAAAAATTTGATCCTGATAGGTTTTTGCCAGAAGAGGCTGAAAAGCGGCCGGTTTGCTCGTATATTCCATTTAGTTATGGTGTTAGAAATTGTATAGGTAACGTCGGAGACTTGATGCTAAATCAAGCATTATTTTAATTGTGAACTGGCTTGCAGGTTATAAGTACGGGTTGCTGTCAATGAAAATAATACTGTCTACATTCTTGAGGTCTTACAGGATAAAATCTTCGAATTACAAATCCATACAAGATATGGATTTGTTCATACACGTTGTAGCAAAACCCAAAAATGGTTATAAAATTGTAATCGAAAAAAAGCAAAAGTAATAGCAACGGAGGGGATGCAGATTGTTTGCTCAATTAAACGTTTTACTTGTACGAAGCTATGACACTAAAGATTTTTATTTTTTTTTAAATTTATAATAGAGTGGGTTTCATAAATGTATTTTAAATTACCTTTTTATTTCAACAAACCGACAAGTCATATGTTTGTTCAGTCAGTTTGCTAGTTGTGTTGTAAGGATTTTCTTTCTGCTATAGCATACCGTGGGAATTTTCACTATATGTTAAGTTCAGTATTCCAGAAAATCAACAACCAGTTGTCGAAGTCCATCGTTTAAAAAAAGGAGGACAGTTTTTGCATTTAAAGATAATATGTGACACTGGTAATGATAGCTTATCACTCCAGAATAACATCACTTGAAGGCAAAAGTACTTTGGTCTTATTGAAATCGAATAAATTCAAAACATTTTCTCAAATTCGTGCCCTTAGAATTTTATACTTACTGAGAGTGTATTGTTTTCTACAAACAGTTAAAACTATGATAACAGATATATTTACGATTTTTTCGTTATAATTGAATGAGTAAAACTGCAAAAGTCGCTGCAAAGATCACCAAATTTGTGGAGGGGAAGGTTAAATGAGAGTTCGGTCTATCAAAGATATATAGGTTAAAAGTTACGATAACTCGTTTACAATCAAATTAGAAATGCTTTTGTATGTAAATTATATGGGTTAAAATAACTTGATGTGTCAGAAACTTAACCTATGTGCTAAACAAGGATAACAGGAGAATGGTAATTTCGTATTCATGTGGACATTGTAAAAAAAATTGCAGTCTAACGACAAGTAAGCAAGATCGCCATAATAGCAACAAAAAATATCTGGCGGCAAAAATGCCGGAAAATAAGAAAGACAGAGATATATTTCTAGTTCTAAATGCCACATGTGTAAAATCTAGTCAGATTAATACGGGTTGGGAATTAGTGCCATTTGTTGAAGTTTGTCGGAAATGTCCCCAGTTCTTATCCTTATAAGCTTATAACACTCGAACATCCAATCTTGTCGCAAACGATACAGGTGCAAAAGTTTGGACTATCTTCAGTACTGGATGTTGATAATGGAGATTCGCTAATTAAGAAAATTGTTTTTGTTTTATTAAGCTCTTTTTAAGTATCTCCTTTAATCGAGTTTTCGTGTGTTCAGCTGAATTGTTTCTTTCCGAATGGAGGTTTTAATGATATGATTTATTCCTAGTCCCGTTACAGAATAATAAATATAAATAAATAACAACTACTACTAAACTTATTAATCACAATTAACAATAGTAACAGTAATAGTGGTACAAAATTAAATAGTTTGCTGTGTCATTTAGTACTCTGGGATAGGAATATAAGTTAACGACATTAGCAAAACCTGTCGACTAAAAAAATACAACTTCTATAAAGTAAAAATCGGCGGCATAAATAACACTCCCTTATAATTATTATTATTATTATTCTTATTAAATAAAGACGTACGTATTCTCACCTTTTTTCGAAAACGGGGTCCTTCATTCTTAATTTCATCAATAAAAAAATTGTTATGACGTTATAAAGATACATAAAACACAGTGCCGGAAAAAAAGAGAAAAAAAAAACAGCCAAGTTTGGCATCCAACGTACGACCGCTGGCTGGTCCGCATGCTGACGCCTTATTAATCGCATGGACACGGACGTTTATATCCTGAGTTAGCGGTATACTGTTAATTTTTTGTGAAAGAGAGAATTTGGCCGTTTAAGGAAAAAAATCAAAGCGGATTCATAGAAAATTTAAACATTTTAAAATATAATTCTTTGATGTCATCAAATTGTTGATAGGGATTATTTAACAAATTTTGGTTAGCATCTACATAATATCCCTAATATACCGGGTGTCTGAAAAATGGCGGATTAACTCTTCAATACGTCATATGCACGTTACACTGCACGCACCTAATGCGTGAATACCCCCGACTTACTTTCTGATTTCTTCTTCTAATACCTGCTAAGATAACAATGATTTTGGCAAATGATGCCCTCAAAGAAAAAAGAGAGTGGGTGGACGGGGCTAGCACCTCCGAAGATGAATTATTTAATTTAGTACGAAGCAACAATAACAATTAAACATTTTGGCCGTTATTTAATACTGTTTTCTCCGATATTTGTACTATATATTTCTAATAATCGTCTTGGTCTACAACTGAAGAATAAGATGGCTTTATTATTATTTTGTACACTTTGGTAATGAATTATTTAATTATTATTCAAGACTAATGTGAGTTTGGAAAAGTACATTTTTCTTAACTCGAATGAAAATGTAAATAAAACAAAGGGCACTGCCAGCAGAGGCGGATCTAGACTGTTGGGGGCCTGATGCTATTATTTAATTGGGGCCCCATTTATGAATAGAAATTTGTTCGAAGCATTTAATTTACACATTTTTAATACTTTAATATAAAAAAACAATAACAAAAAATACAAAAATAAAATATAATAAACAAACAGAAACAAATTATATAACAATTTTCTTTCTGCACTTGATGTCAGCATACGTTCGTATGGCGCTGTCATACGTAATTGACCTTGTGATGTCATTCTCAATTGCAAGAATCGACAAAGAACTTAGTCTTTCGTTTTTCATTGTCGATCTATATTTATTTTTAATAAAATTCAATTTAGAAAAAGCTCTTTCAGCTTCACAACTGGTCACTGGCAGTGCCAAGAAGATCCTAACTACTATGTACAGATTCGGGAAAATGTCAATGAGATTTTTTTTTAAAATGCAGTCGAGTATATCTGAATATGTTACAGTACGTTTCTGAGCTAAGTCAGCAGAAATTTTTAAATATTCCTTAAACTGTAAACATTCATTCTTCAATCTTAATTCGATGTCCTCATTGTAACACTGTAAAACACAGTCAACGCTGTCTTCGTCAATATGTGCTACATGTTTGTTTGTAAGGTCCGTTAAGAATTTGAATTTCTTCCCTAATTCATAATATACATCTTTTCTTCTGGTAAGTTCGAGAAATTTCTCACGACCTTGTAGTGGACTAGTCCCTGTTGTGCCGTCCGAATATTTATAAATTTTAATCCTATTCTTTGCATTACTATAATTTTCTTCCACTTTACTGCTAAACCCCTTCGCTCGCAATTCATAGTTAATTAATTTCTCATTAGATTTTTCTCTAAGAGATTTGATAAATATTTCTGAAGATGTTATTAGTGCAAGGCCTTCGCACAAATCTAATCCAGGTTCTTGTAACTTTTTACTGACTTTGTTAATCTTTTCAAGAAGTACTTCCCAGACGACAGTCAATATAGCGATTTCGAGTTTGTACAGTTTACCTAATATTTTTTCGCTTCCATCTTGCAGTCATTTTTTCTAAATTATCATTAATAACAGTTTCTAATATGGTTACAATTAAGCTATAACTTGTTTTTAACGCGTGAACAGCGTTGTATTGACTAGACCATCTAGTTTGACTTAAACCTTTAACTGAAAGTGTCAGTTTTGCATGTTGATTTAAAAAATTCTACCGGTGAGGTGAAAAAAACACGTACAGTTGTTGTACAACCCCAAAGTAGCTGATTACATCGGGTACGACACTTGCAGCTTCGACTCCTACCAAATTTAAAGAGTGAGTTGCACATGGTACATAATCCACGAGCTTGTTAATTTCCTTAACACGTGCTTGAAGTCCATTATATTTTCCACTCATATTCGCAGCATTGTCATTAGACTGCCCTCGACATTTTTTCATTGAAAGACCATTTTCTTCTAAAAATAAATGTATTGTATTAAATAAATTCTTTCCTGTGTGACTGTCAATTGGTATAAATGATAAAAATCTTTCAAAAACTTTTCCTTGGGAAGTGTATCTCAAAATAATTTCCCTTTGGTCCGTATGTGACAAATCTGAAGTAGAATCCACAATGATTGAATAATATTGTGTATCTGCATCGCTTATGTCCTCAATAATTTTTTTTTCTTACTTGAGTTGCCATTATGTCGATTATCTCTTCATAAACCGTTTTAGACAAGTAACTTGCAACTAGTTGTTCGGTTTGGCATTTTACTACATGTTGTTTCAAAAAAGGATCAAATTCCGCAATAAGTTCCATAAGTCCCATAAAATCTCCATTATGTGATGAACCCCATTTTTCATCATGTCCTTTAAATGACAATCCTCTTTCACTTAAAAATTTAATAACGGCCACAACTCGCATCAGGACAAGGTTGTGGTGTAAAAAAAACTTCTGACTTTTCGACATTTTGCTAGTTCCTGTTCATGTTGAAGCTCAAGTTTCCTCTTTTGGCTTCTACTGAGATGTTTGCGCTCAGACATTTTATTTAATCAAATACCTAATGAATAAGTTGTATTATTAATATTTAACAAAACGAAAATAGTTATCTAAATACCTTAAACACTGTTGATTCCAAAAATGATAATATAAGTATAATTCTACGCAAACTGAATTATGGAATTTTTAATTTTTGAACAAACTGTAATATTCGCAGAGCAGTACACTTTTAAACTTACTGAACGAACAGAAAAGAATGATGAAAACAAAACGTTTTGTAAACACGGCCCCCATCTGCACCGGGAACTCTTTATGGTATCCCAGATGTAGGTGGCTCCCATAAATTAACGGAAAGGGCGGAAGTGACCAGATTTGCAAATGGTCAGCCGAAGACGAAATTGTATTTTTGTAAGAACCAAATTAGAAACAAAATTTATTTTTTTTACATTTACCTTCGGAGGCCTGATGCTCCAGCATCACAAGCATCCCTATAGATCCGCCTCTACTGCTAGTAATGTACGTGTTAGATATGCTCCAAAATTTGATGAAAGTGAGGGTTAACATGTTTTATAAAATGATGTGTGTGCTGATGTTTATGATTTTTTTTCCGCTCAACAATTCCAATAAGAAAAAATATATTTATTCCTACATGATAAAACACAAACAACAGCCCAAACTGGTTTATCTTGATTTAATTCAGCGAATTGTTTTCTTACGTGAAGAGGCAATAATTAATATAAGTAATTGTCTGACACAACTTTGCCGTCTGAATCGGTTCTAATAAAAGATAGGGTAGGTAGGAGTATTGCAGTTGCCCGATGGACTCAATAATAATATTTACTACCCTAGTTTATGGTCGGAAAATATAATCCATGCGGCTCGGGCCCATAAGAATGGTGATCGGTCGTGTATAAAAACAGGGTCATATTTAAGAGAAAGCTGTATCGAACATAATGTATATAGATACTAAAAACGAAAAAAATACGGCATATTTAAACATCAAAACATCAATACCATAAAAATACCTATATACTTAATAAAAATAGTAAGTACAAGTTACTAGTTAACGTTCAACTTGCGGTCTATGGTAGGTGCGCCTAAGACGGCCCGGTTTCAAAATAGGCCCACCGTCACTCGGTTTGATGCTGTACGACGAAGGTATATGAACCTAAAGTACAGGCCACACGTTCAACACTGTTTTCAAACATGCGTAAAGGCGATATATAAATCATTATTCGAAGCATGCATGCTCAAGTGCTGTGCTATAAGAACGTGCGTTTTAGGCTTTTTTAGAATTTGTGTACCTACAAATTTGAGTGAAAATGTAAGTAATCTTGCATATCATAAGGAAATTTACATGGACCTAAATACAATGTCTTTTTTGCAGGCCAAAGAAACGACATTGAGTAAAATTAGTTATTTTTGAAACGTCATCCACAACTTTCGCGCCGAAATGCACAACATTTGAATGCTGCTAGAGCAGCTAAATTGAACAGATTTTATCGTTAGTTTAGCTTGAATGGTCTATGAATCTGCCTCCTGGATCAGTCCTTGACATGACAGCAAAAGCAAGCACGACAACAACGACATTCGTCAAATGGTTAGATTATTTTGCAAAATTTAAGACACCAGGAAAACTTTTATTAATATTCTGTGGGGCCTTTTCTCATCTCGATTACAGTATTGTTGAGGCTGCAGAAAGTCATGGTGTTATTTTATTTTGCCTACCGAGTAACACTACGCATGAACTCCTCATTTATTGGACGAATAAACCCCATCATCGAATTAATAAAGCAGCCTTTGTTCTAATCTTTTCCAAAGTCTGGCCGAAAACGGTCAGTCCAAGTAACATCATGGCCGGCTTTTGGGCCACAGGAATATATCCATACGACCCGAATATCAAACCAGATTCTGCATTTGCAGACTAGTAAGAGTTGCCAAAAATGAAGTTCATATTAATCCCATCAACAATAACTGCAACAATGAAAGCAATGGAGAACAACAGGAAAGGAATGTCCCTAGTAACATAATAGACCCACAACATGGATCAAGTGGTCACGTAAACGTCAGATCTCAGAGCCTTCTTCTCAAGATAGTGCCACTTATTCACTGCGGAATACTTCATCATCTGAAGGAGAAGAGAGTTCCAATGCCAATGACCAGAGTAGATCATCTTGTAAGAATGAATGTTTTAACAGGATCCCACAATCACTAGAGGTTTTAGATCAGGAGACATCTTCTTGCAGGAATGCCAGTTTTAAAGAGATCTTAGCAACAGCTGAAACTGAAGTTAAAAAAGACACTCCAAGAAGAAAAGCTCTGAATTACAGAGCCCAACAATTCACGAAGTCATTGTTTAAAAAAAAGAATAAAGCAAAAGCAAAAATAGTAAAACCCAAGAAGAAGAAAGTGACTGAAACGTCGTATTGCCATTTATGCGAAGAGGATAAAATGATAGACATGCGAATTTGCTTAATGTGTTCTAGATATGTATATGAAGAATGCATCGGTTTGAGTAAAGAGGACAAAGATCTGACGTTTATACGTCCATCTTATGCTGAAGAACGTCAGATCTTGTTTATTAATTTATTTTATTAAAATTATAAAGTTCCTAAAGTAAGTGATATACACAAAATGAAAAATAATCAATTATACGTAAATGTTTCGACGCCTTCAAATTAAGTGGGCCTTTTTAGGCGCACCCACTTTACTCTTTACCTGACAATTTGTCTGTTGTTGTTTACGGTAATCAGTTCGATTTTTAAGTGTGGTGGGGCGTAAGTCAAAACCATCAGTGTAAAACAGTCATTATCATGGAAACGTTTGTGTCCTTATTTTACAGTAGTAAAAAATTGTTTTCTTCGACACTTGTATTATTTTTAACAGTAGTTTTAATTTACAACTGGAAGAGAAGATGGCTTTATTATTATTCTTCGAAAATACCAGGACCATTCGCACTACCTTTATTGGGAAGTTTTCACTTAATTTCAGAAGGACCTCACGGTAAGTTCCAAAAATAAAGTTTATCTTAACAGTTGTTATGACAAAATATTTCAGGAGTTCATAAATTTTTAAAAAATCTTTTCACCGATTACCCTTCTATTTTGAAAGTGTGGTTGGGGCCGGAGCTGTATGTAAGCACAACAGAACCGGAATATTTAAAATTGTTGTTGACACGTTTCTTGGACAAAGGCAACTTTTACCATTTAATGACCGGTTATTTCCAAAGAGCATTAGCAGCGGCTCCTGGTTGGTAAATTAAGTACGTGCAATTGTTCCATTAAAATTTGATTTTAGTTAAACTGTGGAAAAAAAATCGAAAAAATATTAATCCTACGTTTAATATTACGCTTATCAACAGTTTCGTTGACATTTTCTCTAAACACGCTAAAGTGTTTACAGAAAAATTTAAAGACGGTTGTGGAAAAGAAACTGATGATATTTACCCATCTGTTTGGGAATGTACGCTTGACGCCGGCTGTGGTAATTTTATCCCTCGAAAAAAACAAATTTATTGAAATGACTATCGTTTTAGAAACATTAGCGGATGTAAGTCCGTCTATAATCAAGACGCAACAATATTTATCAGGAGTTTTCAGGTAAAGCACGATTTATGTAACATATTTGGCTAATCTTAAGTGTTAAAGAATTGAAGAAATACTCATGAAACGTTTTTTCCATCCACTTCTACATTTTGATATTTTCTGGAACTTGTCTCCCTTAAAGAAAGAATTAAACAAACTTTGGAAACAAAACTGCTCTTGCATGCAAAAGGTAGCAAATTATTTGAAATTTTTAATTCGTTAAAATGGTTTTTCAGATGATTGATTTAATGGAAGTGCCTAAAACTACCCAAGATAACGATGATGGTAAAAAATGACAAACAAGATTTTTTTTTTTTGTATTTATTTACTTTCTAGGAGACGTATCAACAAAGAAACGTTTCTTGACTCATTTGATAGACTTAAATCACAAAAAAGGAATACCGCACGACTACGTGCTTGAAGAAAGCCAGATTATGTTCTTCGTTGGAACAGAAACATCCGCCGTTGTTCTCAGTTCTACTTTATTAGTACTCGGAATGTATCCAGACGTGCAGGTACTAACTTGTTCTGTATTCTGACGTTGTTTTACATTTGTATCGCAGAAAAAAATCGAGGAAGAACTGATTTCCATATTTGGTGATAGTGACAGAGATCCTTCTTTAGAAGACGTGAATCAAATGCAGTATTTGGAAAGAGTCATCAAAGAAACGATGAGATTACTCCCACCCATACCTTTCGTTATGAGATCTGTAGATGAAAATGTTCACTTAGGTTAGCTGCATTATTTTAGTACAGAATGTAGAAAACTTTGTTTCCAGGTCCATACGTTTTTCCCAAAGATGCTAGAGTTATCATTCCTATCGCTATGGTACACCGACGACCAGAATTTTGGCCTGATCCGGAAAAATTTGATCCTGATAGGTTTTTGCCAGAAGAGGCCGAAAAACGGCCGGCTTGCTCGTATATTCCATTTAGTTATGGTGTTAGAAATTGTATAGGTAACGTCGGAGACTTGATGGTAAATTATGCATTATTTTAACTGTGAACTGGCTTGCAGGTTATAGATATGCGTTTCTATCAATGAAAATAATACTGTCTACGTTTTTGAGGTCCTACAGGGTAAAGTCATCGAATTACAAAGCCATAGAAGATATAGATCTATTCATACACGTTGTAGGAAAAGCTAAGAATGGTTATAAAATAACAGTAGAAAAAAAGTAGTTACAACATACGGGATTTAAATGATTTTATTTAAGTGTTTTACAGATATCAAGCTATAACACGTTAATATTTTCCATTAGAGTGGGCTTTATAAACGTCGTATTTTAACTTGTGTGTCCAGTCAGTTTGTTTTTTCAGTTGTAAGAATTTGTTTCCTGTGATAGCATCTCGAGGAAATTTTCACTGATAAGGCGTGTCAGCAAACTCTAAGAGACTTAAAAGACTTTGAGCAAAGAATTAGGGTAGATTGTGATGGGATTAACCCAGAAATTTTACAACTAGTAACAAGTAGGGGTCTACTTCATCGAGCAGAATGTTGTTTAGAGGCAGAAAGTCGTCAATTTCAACATTTAATTTAAAGTTATTGTTTTTGTATCGTTTTATTTTGCTTTAAACTTTGATTTTATTAAAATATTTAGTTGCTTTTAATATTTTTTTTTTATTTTAAGGACGTTTTAAAACATTCAATAAATAACATCGTATGATGTGATACGATAAAGAAAACGTATTACAAATATTTTGATTACAGTAATTTATTGGTTGAAAATTAGTATTACAAACTAATTATTTTATATATTTAGTTAATAAAAAAGTCTTTAAGGAGTTCATCCATTAATACGGGTTCAGAAATATATTTCTCAATATCGACCTGAATAATATAATCATTGAAAGCACCAACCTTATTCGTGTTCGTTTCATTTTTAATTAATTGCCACGCTATTTTAGTTTTATTTCTAGAATTAGAAAATGCGTTAGTGTGATATGATCCATTGATTAAATACACGTATTTATATAGTTTAATTTAATCAATGTATGAACTTTTACCAGTTAGTGCTCTATTTTAATGTAGTTTATTTAGAATTTTATTTTACAATTTTACAGGGCATAAAAATTGCTTAAATAGTGCATGACACGTTTTTTGAGTGTAATACCTCTATTTTCTTAAAGAAAATGTCATTTACCAATACAAGATTTGCCAAAATCAGCCCTATCTTAGCAAGTACTAACCCCACCCACCCGCCCTCTTCTCATTCTAACGACAAATTTTATTCCTGTACAGTATAAGTTCCACCTTTCATTCAGCGCATTCAGGGTTAATTATTTCTTCTTCTATAGAGTGGAAGTGGGAAATAGTAGAACCTAGGCCTAGATTTATTTCTTATTTCAGAAGAAAAACAATGAGACTGGGTGTGGGGGTGCTTTAACTTTTTCCAAGAGAGTCTTTTGCAGGCAAGCAACGTAGGTTCAGTGCGAGTTGTACAATTTTTATAATCTACTAAGCTTTCATTATTCAAACTTTAAATTTTATGATCAAATTCCGCATTGTCTTACAATTTTCAAGACGAAAGAAAATAATTTATCGTTCTGTTCAAAGGCATTTTATTTATACTGATTTTAAACCTGTAGTAAATTAACCATAAACGACGCCATTCACTATAAAGTTGTTTTTGTTTGCAAATATAGAAAACAATAAAATTTTACCACTATTTTGCACGTAGTTGACGCAGTTCAGCAATCAAAATATCACTTTGTTTGATGGGGAATACCTTCACATTAAACGTTCTGTTTTCCAAAAACTCATAAAAAAAAATAGTCACGTTCTGAGCGAAATAAAGATAAGCGTTATTTTTTTAACCTATTTATACTATATGTGTCTATATAAAGACACACAAATTATAAGTATTTGTAAAAGTGAAACAATGAAGGGCACAACATTCTCCTTTATACTCTTTGCTGCAACATGTGGTAACAACGACTAGTAAAATTTAGTTGTCTTATCGTATTTGACTTTGAGGGATATTTTAGGTAACTTAGTTTATTCAGACCATGTAGTGCGAACTCGAATGATTGGTGGAGAACCTATAGGCAGCCCTTTACCTTACATAGCAGGCATCAAACACCTCGTCAAAAACATATCCGTGAAATTCTGTCTTGGAAGTGTTATAGGTTCTAGATGGATTCTCTCTTCTGCACTCTGTCTTTTAACAACGTAAGTAAAATGTAAAAACAGTTTTTTTCAGCAGTCTTTATACATTTTATTTTCAGAGACCCCAAAAACGTTGTCGTGGACCTCGGAGTACGCATTCAGTCTCCAAATCCTTCTCCTAACCGCTATCACACCTCCAAAATAATCATCCACCCGAATTTCAACAGCACCACTGGCAAGAACGACATCGCCTTACTCCAAGTCTCCCAGTCCATCAAGTTCACGGACTCTCTCTCTCCAGTTAAATTAGGTCACTTCCGGAAGGAAAAAGTCACCGAATTAACAGCCATCGGCTGGAACGACGACGTCGACCATGGACTAGGTCACGGCAAACCTGAAGGGTATCAGTTAGCTCGCTTGAAGCTAACCATCATTTCCATCGACGAGTGCCAGAATAAATTTCCAGAATTGAATGATTTGGTAAGTCTGGATGAAACCCAGATTTGTGGCTATGATGGAGAGGGGAAGGATATGTGTGGGGTGGATTATGGAGGTCCGGCGATTGACGAACAAAACAAGGAACAAGTTGGGGTGTTTAATGACGTCATATTTTATGCAAATGGGCATGGGCATGATTGTCATCCGCATCACAATCATCCGCTTGTGTTTACCAAGGTGGAGATTTATTTATCGTGGATTCGTGAAACTACTAATCTCCAATTGTAACTGAAAAAATACCTTATTTCATACAATTTGTCTTTGTTGAAGGAGTGACAAATAAAATTCTACATTATTTTTTTGTGTTTGGTTTTAATGTTCATTGTTTCGTGTGTTATTTTGCTGTAGTTAAATAAGTAAAATCGATTTTTAAATTGTTTATTTAGACGAATTCATAATAACGTGGTATTGTTAGTTGCCTACCAAGTCACGATTCATAACAGAATTATTTTGTATTTAATGATGTTACTCTTGAAACGACCGATGAAAAAGTGGTGAATATTTTCCAGGATTGGGCATTTAATATGAAACGAAAGATGGGTCTGATTACAAAGGAGGTGTCCTGAAAACTATACGGAATGTAAATGCTAAATTATTCAAGAAAAATACTTTAAAGAGCACAATCGTAAAATGGACCCATTCAAAGACGTAGTATTTGAAGGAGCTCCTAAAACACGCACAACTAAGAGAAAATAACTTCAGTCATTACCAGATAAAAGAAAATATAGTTCTGCAGCTTCGACAAGTGTCGAAATTCAAATGATTTTTTTTCAAGTTGTAATCGACCCTTTTCCTGCAAGATCGTAAAACTTCCATAGTGACTTTCCGTGCGCACGCATCTTCAAAACCACGTTGGAAATAGTATCCGGCACTCCGGCAGCAGAGCAAAGGCCTGTGACAACAAACCGCTTTGACAGAATGCAACCGGCTACACATGCGTAATCTGTCGCTCATTGGTTAATTTAAACTTGGCGCTCCAAAAATCTGACTTCGCCTGCGCGATGTTGTCTCACTCTGTATCATTGAAATTTATATAATATCTACTCACTTTGCTTACAGGAAAAGGGTCAATTGTAGAATCTGCCTGGCGCCGGAATGAAGCTACATTATTATTATTATTATTATTATTAAATTCAGAGATTGGGCAGAGACCGAAGTCTGTTCTGCCCGCGCTCACGAGTAGTGAACTACGATTACAAAGCGCCTAATAACTTGGCCTATGCATTATGTTCGTCGTACCGCTTTTTGAAGACAAGCAGGGATTGACTTGCAACGATATCGTCAGGGAGAGGCGAGGGGTAAACCGCCGACCATCAAGTGTACAATTGATTTCCTTTTGACAATGATTTCCTGTTGATTTCCCCCGATTTCTTTTGATTTCCTCTGATTTCCTTTGATTTCCTGTGATTTATTTACTTTGATTTCCTTTGATTTCCTGTGATTTCCTCTTGCTTTTCTATGATTTCCTGTGATTTCCTCTTTGTGCACGCGGGGTGCCGTGACTTAACTTTGCGCGAAGGACCGAGAATAACTGAGAAGTACCACTAACCTGGAGTATCCTGCTGGCGGTGACAGGGGCCCCTGGTTCTTGGTAGCCTGATTTTGAGAAGTACAACGAGGAACACGCGAGAGGAAAACCGTTCACTCATGCACCTTTTACATTCAGTAGCGTACTACTTCCGCTCACTCGCGCGTGCGCCGGAATGGAGCACTTACTGTTCGAACATAACCGCCCACCAAATTTAACAAAATTTAACGAAAAATTAAACGAAAATTAAAGAGAGTTCTTTATGCACATTATGAGAGCTCACTCAATTCTCCATTGAGAATTGGGTTGGGAGAATCACGAGCTTGTTTACCGGACGCGTATATAAACCGGTCGAGGTTTTCACTGTGGCCACACGGACGACTCCATCGGTTCCAGGATGTACCTCTTGTACGCGTCCTAACGGCCATGAAAGGGGGGTAGTTTCTGCGCCATACAATGCGACAATGGCGCCGGGTTGAATGTTTGGTTGATCCTTATTCCACTTCTGACGTTGGAGTTGAGTATGGAGATACTCCGTAGACCACCTCTTCCAGAACCGCTGATACAGCTGGGAGAGTAGTTGCCACCGACAGGTCCAGTTCAAGTTGTCCTCCAAGGGAGCTTCAGGAGGTTGCAATAACGGTCTGCCGACTAAGAAATGTCCAGGGCTTAGGTAATCTACAGCGTCTTCTGGGTTAGAGGTGACGGCACATAAGGGACGGCTGTTCAATACCGCCTCAATCTTACAAAATAGCGTGCTGTACTCTTCGAAAGTTAAGAGAGAGGTGCCGATTGATCGATACAAGAGACTCTTTGCGGATTTGATCGCAGCCTCCCATAGGCCGCCAAAATTGGGGGCGGCTGGAGGGTTAAAATGCCATTTTATCTCCAAAGAAGTTAAGGAACTCGTTATCTCAGAGGAGTGCGAACGTAGAAACTGACTCACCTCCCTCAGGTGGCGAGCGGCGCCGAGAAAGTTACGTCCGCAATCAGAGTATATGTCAGAGGGTAGACCACGGCGTGCGGTGAATCTGTTGAGCGAGGCTAAGAAGGCTTTCGTGGTGAGTTCCGAGACCATTTCTAAATGGACCGCTTTCGTAGACATACATATGAATAAACAGAGATACCCTTTGTATGTGTGGGCCTTACGTCGACGACATTCCCTGACCGTGAAGGGTCCGGCAAAGTCAATGCCAACAGAGGAAAACGGCTTGTTAGGTTGAACTCGAGCTGGTGGTAGATCAGCCATGAAGGGAAATACAGGTTTCGATTTAAACTTAAAACAGCGAATGCAGCGAAAAATGCGCTGCCGTAGGAGGGATCGAATCGATATTATCCAGAACTTCTGCTGTATAAGCGTCTGCACGCTTCTAGGTCCAGCGTGGCAAGCGTACAGATGATAGTAGTCGCAAATTAAAGCCGAGAGATGAGCTTTCTGAGGTAAAAGCAGAGGGTGTTTCGCATCTAGGGGAAGGGCGGAGTGTCGTAGCCGTCCGCCCACCCTAACTATACCCATTGCATCCAAGAATGGGAACAGCTTCCTTAATGGAGTTGTGGTGTGACCTTTGGAACGCAACTCTTCTATAAGCAGAGAAAAATGGTTTTGCTGTGTGAGACGCACAAGCGATAAGGTCGAGTATCGCATCTCTTCGCTTGAGAGTGGACCCTTCATCTCGGGACATCTTATTCGGAGTAGCCATCGGCGAATAAATGCGAAAGCGCGTTGTAGTCTACTAAATGAAGAAAATCGTGACACAACTTCATACAGAGGATTTTCTGGGTCGGCTTGGATGCGCAAAACTATAGGATCGTTTTTACGCTCAGGGAGCTCTTCGGGTGCGACATAATTATCGTCGCTTACGGGCCACTTGGACGGCGGATTCCGCATAAAATCTGGTCCATTCCACCAGGAATGACAATCCAGGATCTCTTCGGGAAATAATCCTCGAGACGCAAAGTCGGCTGAATTTTGATTCGACACTGTGTGTGCCCATTGGTGAAGAGATGTATGCTCTAATATGCGAACTACACGATTGGCCACGTAGGTTTTGAGAAGATGAGGAGAGGTGTGGAGCCATGCAAGGACAATCTGAGAATCGGTATAGAGATGAACATTTTCAAATCTTACGGCTTTAAGAGATTTAATCACATCACGAAGTAGTCTAGATAATAACAACGCTCCACAGAGTTCCAATCGAGGAATAGTCAATGTCTTGAGGGGTGCCACTTTGTTCTTGGCCTTCAAAAGATAATTCCTACAAGTGCTACTGGAATCATACGCATGTAAATAGATGCAAGCGGAGTATCCTTTAGAGGAAGCGTCCGAGAATCCCACCAAGAGCAAACGTGGCAAACTTTGGAGAATGTATCGAAGAATTTTAAGTGCGCGTAGACACCGCATTTGAGAAGAAAACCTTCCCCAAGCCTCCGATAGGGAAGGCGGCAGGATATCATCATAGCCCACTTTAGAGATCCATATCTGTTGCAGAAAATGCTTAGCCCAAAATACAATTGGAGATAACCACCCCATGGGATCAAAGATTCGAGCGATATAAGAAAGAACAGTGCGCTTGGTAACTTGAGAATCAAATTCTTGTACATAATAGGTGAAAGTATCAGACCGAGGATCCCACCGTAATCCAAGAATCTTAATAGAAGGATCGTCACTTGAGAAATTCAACGGAGATTCACGATGCTGTTCTGGAACATGATCTAGAGCAATTGGATCATTACTAGCCCATTTTCTCAGCTGGAAACCGCCACGATTGAGTAGGTTTGCGAGTTGTAACTGTAGCGACTTCGCTTCCTCAACTGTAGAGGCACCATGCGCAATATCGTCCACATAGGTGCTTTCTGTGATAGCTTGTACTGCCAATGGGAACTCATGCCCTTCGTCCTCGACGAGCTGGAGAAGGACACGTTGAGCAAGATATGCTGATGGTGCTAAACCATATGTCACTGTTTTTAACTCATACTCCTGCACATTAGAAGCGGGATCTGGCCTCCAGAATATGTGCTGGAGATAACGTTGCTTTGGATTCAACCAAATCTGTCTATACATCTGTTGAATATCCGCTGTGACTGCTATAGCATGAAGGCGAAAATTCATGAGAATGTGGCTCAAATCCTTTTGTAGCTTAGGACCGGGCAGAAGTTCCTGATTAAGCGTTGTCCCGTTTGAGTCAGAGGAGGATCCGTTAAACACAACTCGCACTTTGGTAGTTGAACTAGTTTCCTTTTGAACACAATGATGAGGCATTACGTACATGGAAGATTGTGCGGCTAGTTGCATATGTCCGAGATCGCGGTATTCTTGGAGAAAAGTAATATAAGCAGCGTTGAGTTGGGGACGCCGAGACATTCGAGCTTCCATTTTGAGATAAGTGTTCAGAGTTGTCTCTCGGTTGCTGAGAAGCGGCGAGCGCTGCTCACGGACTGGCATTGATACCACATATCTGCCTGAACGATCGCGATAGTGCGTGTCCTTGAAATGAGCTTGACAAAAGTCATCTTCAGGATTGGAGACTGAAAGGTTATCAGCGAGAGTCTCAGTTTCCCAAAACTTACGAACGGTATCATCAAGAGAATCGGTGCATGTGAGAAGAGAACACAAGGGGGAATTTGTTGAAGATGAACTCGAGCCTATAATTATCCATCCAAAGATTGTGTCAATGGCAGAGGGTTGTCCTTGAATAACATTAGGCTGCGTATTACATAAAATGTGAGGATATAGATCTGCTCCAATTAAGAATTCAACTCGAGCAGCTTGATGGAAGTTTTCATCAGCTAACGTTAGATGACTGAACTGATCCTTAATGTGAGAAGGTAACGTCTGACTAGGAAATTTATTAGGAATATCCGAAAGTACAACAGCGTGAACGTTTACGACATCAGCACGAGTTCTAGAGCCTGAGTGGTACGAATGAGACCTTGAGTTCGGACAGGAAAACTGGCGATGCCAGTAACTTCAATGGGAGATCTGCTTCTTTTTAATCCCAAATGTTGCGCCGTTGATGAAGTAATCACTGATACTTGAGAGCCGGGATCAACCACAGCTCTTATCTTGTGATAATCTCCATTACAGTCTTGGATCTGGGCTGTCACAGTCGCTAGTAAAACAGTGTTGCGCTCCGCTGAGGTCTTGCACGAAAACACAACGGGAGATTTTCTTTCCTCTACAGAGGGAGAAGTACTAGTTTCGGAGGTATCCACCTTGGACTCCTGGTGTAACACGGAGTGATGCTTGTTGCTGTGACAAATACGACAAGTTTTACGAGATTGACATTCATTTCGATTATGAGCACCCAAACAGTTGAAACATCGTCTCAATCTCTTCAACGTATCATATTTCTGTTCATTTGTTTTCTGGAGAAATTCGCAGCATGCCGGAAAGGGATGTGAACCTTTGCAGAGCACGCACGGGACAGAGCACGTAGAGGAGGCATCGGATTTGGCATTTGTCATGAGTGAAGCACGGAATGACTTAACTGATAGAGATTTACATTTCGGTGATTTTGTGTCCTGAGAGAGAAGTTCGTACGTTCGATTCTGATCCGTTATGAAATCAATTAACGCCTGATAGCTGGGAACGGAATTTGAACTTTGCCTATTCTCAAAAGCTTTTCTAGATAGAGGATCCAAATTTGCAAACGATAATTGAAACAGCAAAAAATCACCAAGGTCTTGAAGATTCAAAGCCTTAAGAGCATTAATGGAATTCGAATGAATATTCAAAAAATGTCTCAAACTGCTAGAACTTGGGGATGATAAAGGACTAAAACCTAGAAGTTGATTGACGTAGTGAGTCGCCAACCGTCTTTTATTCTGGTAGCGAAGTTGCAATGCCTCATACGCCAGTGCGTAATTTTCGGGGGTTAAATGAAAATTGGCAATGACTGTTAATGCGTCATCTCGCAGATAAGAGCGCAAATACTGGAATTTTTCAGCTTCTGATAACGCATCGTTTTTGTGGACAACCGAATCGAACAGTGAGAAAAACACCGACCATTCTTCGATGCGACCGGTGAACGTAGGGATATTTATTCTGGGCAAATGCTGGTTGCTGTTGGCGACCGAATTACTGCTGGTTTGCTGCGGAGGTTGTGTCTTCACCAGGTCTAAATAACGACCACGTGTGTTAAATACTAAATCATCGAAAGCTGTTTGCACCTTACAGACTTCGAGAGCATGGCGATTATCCAATAAATCTGCATTTAGCTGAATAATTGCATTCTGAGTCTTATCCATTTCTATCTCAATAACCTCTAGTTTTTCGTACCGAGGCTTGAACTGAAGAGCTGTATCAACGGTGGTTCTCTTCACGGAGTCATAACAGTTTTGAACTTGAGCAAATAACTTTTCCCGTGTAGATTTCAGTACGGCGAGCTTCTTAATTTGAGATTGCAACAATTCTGCGTTAGTCATTGCGGCGATACGCGATAAAGCGTCGATCGAGAAACCGATAAACCGACAAATTTGAGGTTATGATCCGGCTCGAAGGACCAAATGTGCACGCGGGGTGCCGTGACTTAACTTTGCGCGAAGGACCGAGAATAACTGAGAAGTACCACTAACCTGGAGTATCCTGCTGGCGGTGACAGGGGCCCCTGGTTCTTGGTAGCCTGATTTTGAGAAGTACAACGAGGAACACGCGAGAGGAAAACCGTTCACTCATGCACCTTTTACATTCAGTAGCGTACTACTTCCGCTCACTCGCGCGTGCGCCGGAATGGAGCACTTACTGTTCGAACACTCTTGATTTCCTATGATTTCCTTTTGATTTCCTCAAAATTTGTTTACATAATGTACTACAGGGCGATTGTTAACTTTTTTTTAACTTGACTTTTTTGTTTTGCCGATAATGATGTTGAATTTAAACCTTTTTTACCAAGTGTTTACTAACGTACGGTGACTAGGTAAGCTGAAGTGCTTTCCCTTTAGACGAAAAAAATAAATAAATAAAATGTATTGTGTTGCTAAGCAACAAACTGAAATGTTTAAGAAAAAAAATCTGATTTTCCTTACAAAAAGAACGCTACTCTAAAATCGAGGTTTTAGATGTCTAAATCAATACGTTCGAATTTTACACTTTCTTGGGTCAAATGTTTGTTCTAAAAGTGGACATATGCAATATTCTAGATTTTTTGCACATTCAGTCAGAAAACCTTATGGTCTATTTTAATTTTGAAATTAAAAAAGTCTGGTGTGTACAAAGTAGTTCGTTTAAATCACTCAAAGATTTAATAAATTATATTATATATTATTATTAATTTTTTAATAAATTATATTATGAAATTTTGCTTTTGACTTTACGAAATTAAAAGTACATAAGGCCAAGAATATTTTTAGTTACGTCAGCAGTTTTTACTTATCAGTTACTCATAGGGCAACAACGACTGCCTCATACGTTCACAGATGTAATTAATAGAGAGCGGAAAATATGCAGCAAAATTTTGGGAAATATGATCATATGATATGCATCAAATTTATGCAAATATGCAATAACTTTCTTAATATATGCAGAGATATGCAATTGCATATGCTCCAAAAATAAAAAAAAGCGTAATAACCGAACTAAATTTATTTACAAATTGCAAAAACACCTTATCTTTTATTACAAAAAATACATAAATCACATTGCAAAGTGTTTAATTAGATCTCACTGACAAATAAATGACATTTTTTAAGATAATATTCTTATACTAAAAAATAAATATAGGTAAACAGAACGAATTAAAAAATAGTAGTAATCGCCTATTTAATTACTATTTTGGTAACAATTTATTTTTAAATATTTTTCGAAATATTCTAACAGAAATTTTTCCGATGATTCTAAAGTATGTATTTGTAAATAGAAAATCTGCTTACTGCGTCCACAGATGTAAAAATACTTATCGGATTAGAGCAGGCACAACAAAAAACCGTTCCTTCTTGAAGAATAAGTTCAGGAAAAGGTTTAATTCACAAATTAATTTGAGTTATCTACATATTGACACACATCTCTATCGCTTTAAATACTTAAATGCAAACTCACGATGAAAAATAATAGGATAACGTCCCTTCGACCACCATAAAACATACCATTAATACACTTAAGTAACGAACAAAAATATTGAAATGAACGGTATTTCCAAAAGTAATTAGGATCCGAATTTACCTGGAAGGATGGCTTAACACCCAGTGGTTCCTCCAAATTACCATAAAACCCAAACCTTTCCCAGTTATTTGAAGCTCAGGGCAATATTTGCAATATAATTCATGAAATTTCGTCTTTCTAGAAAAATGCCGATCGAATGGCAAATTGATAAAAATGCAAAATATGCACCCGTTACGTGAAATATGCAGCAGAAGGCAAATATATGCAAATATGCACTTTTTTTATAGCTGTATTCATTTTTAATTAGCATGATTCGTTCACATATTAAATATCAAGACTTATATGCAAAAAATAACGGATATGCAAATTTCATAAAATCCGCTCTCTAGTAATTAATATGAATACCAAATAGTCCAAAATCATTCTATTAGGTTCATCTCTGTGTTGTGCATACAAGATCTATTAAATCAAACTTATAATAATAACTTAAGTCATTTCTTTTTAAAAATTGGGTTTATTCATTTATTATAGTAGCATAAACAGAAAAAACAAGTAGTTTCATTTATTTTATTAAATGTTAAAAAAACGATAACTCTAAACATAAAAGTTAAGCATTTCTGTTGGATCATAACAAAATATCACAAAACAAAACAACTTCTTAAAAAATACTTACCCTATAATCTGGGTCGAGATTTGTGTATATATTGTAGATGATGTTGAAATAAAAAACTGTGCTAAATTCTAGCTACCCATCAATACAGATGATAACACTTTTAATTTTTTGTTCACAACTTTCAAATGAAGCATATTAGAAAAAAACTTTTGAAATGCAAAATTTAACACGTAAGAATTTTTTTTTGCACAATAAAGGAGTGGATAACCCCACTTGATAAATTTTCAAAGGTAATTTTTCCCTTTAAAAGTGTTCATGAGCACCTAGAATTTTGCAGAGTTTCTTACTTTAGTATTCTCTACGATATATTCTTGTACAAATCTCGACCCAGGTTGAGGTTACATTATCAAAAATTTTAATCACAACACTTAAAAAAAAACTAGAATTAAATCAAATATTTTTTCAATAATTTTTTTTCATAAACTAAACTGCCTCTTCTGAGTACCTGAGGTGGAGGTAGTTTCATTATATATTCATTTTCTTGAATCTCCCCCTGATCTTTAATGTCCGGAAACAAAAGCATCCAGAATTTTTGGATTCCTTTTCAAAAAATCACAAAAAATAGGGTTAAGTGATAACACTTTACCAATGTAACATTTTTTGTTTTGTTTTTGAGTTGTTAATTGTACTATAATATTATCGTCTATATTTAAGTCTGGTTTAGAAGGATGACTCTTACTATTTTCAGCCTTGAGATTCAAACGAGGATTCAAATCATCAGAATAATTGGAAGAATTTAAACTTTCGGTGTCCGTGCTGTCATCATATTCGATACTACTTGGGTTGTCTAAATCAGATGAGTCACTTGATATATTATAGCGTTTTTTTATCTTCCAATTTGGACTGGTTTTTGAATTTGAGATGCATCTTTATGTTGAAGGCAGGTATCTGTTTCTGAGTTAACTCTACTACTATTACATTTCTTATTTTGAATAAATCTTTTGAGACGATCCACACTGACGCGATCCTTTTCATTGTCTAACAGCCAGCAAAGTGAAGACTTTTTAATAACTTTTGTTGTATTATCTAAGCGTATTCTGACTAGATCACCTTTCTCAACAAAAATATCGTCACTATCAAAACTTCTAAGGTGTATGTCTCTGTCAAATTTCTTAGATTCATACGAAATTGTGCAAAGATCATTCAGTAAATCTTCATCTTGGTCAACTGGATCGTTTTCCAAACATTGAAAACAGTTACGTTTCATGGCTATTTGAGAATTGTTGTAATTTTCAATGTGATCGCACTGTTCTTCACTAAACATTTCATCTTCAACTTCGTCATTGCATTCATTGTCTTTACACGGAGGCAAAAATACATAGTTGAAATCTATCACTTTCATTCCTAAATCTTCAGTGTCACGCAGACAATCCCGTAAAGCTGATTCTACGGTGCTTTGTATATCTTTATCGGAAATGTTTCCTAAGTCATCATTTTTCACAAAATCTCTCTTCATGATTGAACTTTTTTTCCTGATTTCTCTAGGAAAAACGAATTTTTTATCCAAATCGTTTTTAATGTTGTTTATAGTTTGCAGTCTGTTATTTCGATGCAACATATCTCTTATATTAAAATTAACACAATTGTGCTAAAAGTTGAGGTCATTGATCTAAGACTTCTAAACATACTCTCACGAGTTTGAGAGCTAAACTTCCAAGGCAAGAACATATCATCAGTGAGATTTTTGCACGACCTGAACTTATTGAATTTGGTACCTCATATCACAAACTCAATTTTTAAAAACTAATTTGTGGTGAAATTATAAATTTGGTTTGTAAAGGTTATTTAATCTCCACTTTTAAGATTAAATTGATATTTTCTTTCTTATGATGAATGCTATGACTTATGTCGTACATGTTACGTTTATTAGTTCTAGAAATTATCTAGTTTAACTGGATTTGCTATGATGATTTTGGATTTCCCTTGTTTTCTTGTTGATTTCTCGTTAATTTCTCATTGATTTTTTCTTGATTTCTCGTTGATTTCCTCTTGATTTCCTTTTGATTTCCTTTGATTTCCTTTGATTTCCTGTGATTTCCTGTAATTTCCTGTGATTTCCTGTGATTTCCTGTGATTTCCTTTGATTTACTCTGATTCCCTTTTTGATTTCCTGTGATTTCCTTTGAATTCCTCTAGCGTGTACAATTGATTTCCTCTGCGGTTTACCCATCGGGGAAAGGGTTCCAATGATTAACAACTCTGTTGGTGAGAAATGTTCGTCGAGCTGTGGAAGTACACCTTTCCTTAGGTAATTAATTTGAAAGAATGTCCTCGTGTTATTTGATTTGACTTTAAAACAAATATAGTTGGATTCAAGTACCTTTTTACACACGTGACGAAAAGCTAACGTCCGAACTAATAACTGTTACTTTGTAGTAATTAGTCAAAAAGATGACAATGTTCATAACGTCAACATGACACAAATGTGTAGGCTCAGGCAGGTCTTTTGGTTTCGGTGCTTTCCGATTGGGTCGTGATTTTGTCGGACGGGGAAGCACGCCGAGTCTTTCTTTTCGAGTTTTAATCTTCGAAACCGTTCGGCGAGTAACGTCTAGAGCATCTGCAACTCGCTAAAAATTTGAGCGAAATTATTAACCGTGAACCTTCAAGTGGTTTTTACTTACTTACTCGTTCTGTACCATTTAATGAGATTAA